AGACCCCATAAGAATTCCGCTGTGATGGACCGAAGCTAAAGTAATGAAATTTACCCAGCCTCGTTTTTTGTTCATCAAGTAGTTTTTTTTATTAAAAATATATATTTACTTTTTCATTCAAATGTGTAAAAAAATTTAGTTATATTTATATTACTAATAAGTTTATAAATAAATTTAGTGTTACGAGTCAATTGTGATGGACTCAATTGAATAAAGTACTTAACAAATAAAATAAAATTATAATATCAAATAATAAAATAGTCAATTACAATATTAGAATTATGTAAAATTTAGTATAGAACCTACATATATAAATGATAAACTTTTACATAATTTTTTTTATTATAATTAAATAATTTTAGTATTGTAATTAAATGAATTATAAATAAAATATTCCCTTTTTAATTATATGTATTTATGAAAAAACTTATTTCTTTCTAAAAACAATTCACTTTCTCCCTTAAAATTTTTTTTTCTTCCAAGAATACTTTTTTTCCATGTAATTTTTTTTCATTTCCATCATGGGATGTGGCGTCATCTGTAGTATTTGTTTAATATTATTACAATTCAATATTAAAATTATCTCATCCATTATCATTTAAGTTTTTAAAATTAATATGCGAATTTAATAGGGTAACATATATATTTAGAATATATATAAAAATAAATAAATAATTAAAAATATCTCAATCTATTAATTCTGATTTATAAATTAAAAAAATTATACTAACATTATACATGTACAAATTCTTATGTAAATTTTTTAATTGATTTGATGTCAATAGATTCATGGCACCAACTCTGTCAGTCATATTATAAATAGTGTAGGTTATTAAAATAATTATATTCACAATGCATTTATGGCACGTTGTGTGACAAACGGTGAGTTACTAAATCAAAGATAATTATGATATTATCAAAAATCTCATTCCGTAATTCTCTCATAAGTGAAATTCATGTTTGTTTATATTTATATTTTTTTAATTTCAAATTATATTTGGTTATCGAAGCATAGCAACGTGGTGAAAAAATAACGGCTCCTGCCGCCAAGCGCCGCCAACCTTATCCACTCTTTTGTCTTTGGAAGTCCATTGCAGCAAATTTTATTTCTCAGTTCTCAAACTGAAACATAATAAAGAGAAAGAAGGAAAGAGGCAAAGACAATGTTGAGTGTCAATGCTATGGCTTCTCTGTCGAACTCAAAGCTTCCTTTCAATATATTATTATCATTATTATCATAATAATCATTCCGGCAAGTGTTTTAAGCTGCTAACACCCAAGAAATCAGAAGTACTGCAACTGCAAATAAGAGCATCATCTTCTGCTGCTCCTGATGTTGATCTCAAGACCCTTGAATCCGCCATTTCCAAGGTAAAATTCTCTTTTTCTGCCTTTCCATTTGGCTGAAATTACTTGAAACGGACTGTTTTTGCATGTCATCGTTTGCTTGTAGCTTCTGAACTTCTATTATTGAAAAATGAATAATGATTGATGAACTACTTTAACAATGATTAATGGAGATGGAGACATTTGAGGGAGAAAAGGAAGTTTTGAAATTGCTTCTTCTTCTTCCGATCCAATGGGCCCCGAAGTCCAGCAGTTAAACTATGCCTAAATAGTACCTTAATTTTATGGATTTGGAGGAAGTTTGTGATGCTGTGGGCTTTTCTTGCTCATTATCAAAGATCAATTCTTTTTAGTAAAATTGCTGTTTTACATGCAGATTAAGGGTTGTGTTGTTTTGACGATTAATTTGAAGTTCCATTTAAAATTGGCTTCCAATGGGGATTGATCTTTATACCCATCATAGCAATAAAGAGTCCGATTGTCAAGATTATACTACTTTTTTTTAAAATGGGAAGGTCTAAATGATCTAACAGACAAAATGAGGGAGAAAATCTTGAATATGTTGGAGATTGATGTCCCTATTTAACCAAAATTTGGCATCTTCCTTTCCCTTTCCATGTTTTGTTCTGTGATCTAAATGAAACTGATCATTTTGATTTTGCGGTGCATGAAATTCTTTCTTTGAACAGATAATGATCAGTGTTCACCTTCAACATATATGTTTGTAAGGATTTATTCCGTTGTTCACTTGTCACTTCCTTTTGTCTTCCTTTCATTCAAAAGAGAAGCTACTGCCTGCTAGTCATCTCTATGCTTTATTTTTCTGTATGCGATTGTAATTTGGAGTTATTAATGTTCTTACAAATATGATGAGTCTGCTTGTCCTTTTGTTGTTGATAAGTAACTATGTTACTGACATCTATATATTTGCTTCAGAAAGACAGTGGTGCAGTCAAAGAGCAACTTGATCAGCTAAGTGAAGTTGGATGGGCCAAGAAATGGAGTTCTCAGCCATATGTCTCACGTCGTACGGTCAGTCTCAATATAAAGTCTGAAGTTGTGGAAAGTGCCACTCAAATATTAGCCTGCAAACGCATGCATAAGTGTGCATGTATACCATAGATCTGTTCATTGCTGTAATATTTGTTCATATGTTTACTTGGTCAGAAAATGAAAGGCCTGACTTCAGATTCTTTACATCAGACATCTCTTCGGGAGCTGACCACCCTTGCCTTAAAAATGCCGAGGAGATCTTGCAATTCAAGTGTCAGAAATGATGTAAGCACCACCATAACTCATCTTCTAGTTGGGGTTATCTCCTAGTGTTAGATAGTCCTGAAAGTCATGTTCAAGCATTCTGTTGGTTCTTTCTTGTGCTTATTTGGTTTTCTCTTTAAAATTAATATTCTGATCTTATAACCGTTTTGAAATTCTTATCACAAACTTCGCATTTGACTTTTGTTGTTAATCTAACTCTTCACATGGTTAAAACTTTAATTTCAATTGCTGTTCATGAATTTGATATCTTTCAGTTGTAACAGGCAGCATTTCTTTTCACAGTGGTTGGGACAACAGGGTTTCTGGGAGTTCTTGCTGGCCAGCTTCCCGGGGTAATTTTAACTATATGGTCTTCTTACTTTGTTGTTCATTTTCGTTTCTTTGGCGCATATAGTATAAACAATCAAAGAATACACAATAGGATGACTTCCCCATTCTTTCATTTTGTTGAACAATTTAGGTGATGCATTAGTTTTCTATTGATGTCAACGGTAAAGGATGTACAGTTTGCCCACTGTTTCACTTGCCAGAATCATTCATGAGATACCATGGAAGGGCACTGTGAAGAAAGTAGAGCATTTTTATAAACAGAATCCTTTCGTTGGCCTTGTCATTTAAATCACAATTGGTTTCTGCATATTATTTAGTATTATTCCTTACAGTTTCTGCATGGTAGAGAAGTTCTGGCTTTAAGTGGTTTCTGGTTCATAATATTGCCACAGGATTGGGGCTTCTTTCTACCATATTTAATTGGAAGCATTTCTTTAGTAGTTTTGGCTGTGGGGAGCATTTCACCCGGGTATGTCTACTGCATGTTTTCGTATCCCAGGGCTTGGCAATTAACATGGTCTGTCAAATTCTTCTTTAATGTTAGTCACTATGGTTTCTTCTCATCTCAATGGGGTCAATCAATAACGAATCCATAAATTTCTTTTTTGGAGGTATCCACTTATAATATATATAAAAATTGCTGACGAATTTAATAATTTCATTGACAGAAATGTGTCAAGAGGAATTTTTGGGGGGCGTGGGAAAATTTTTCTTCAAATTTTTTTATTTAAACATGTGATCCTCCTTGCAGTCATCAGTCCCTAATGCTTGGTTCCAAACTGACGGTCTTAATTTGCTCCTATAGGCTTCTTCAAGCTGCCATTGGAGGCTTTTCATCATTCTTTCCTGATTACCAGGAGAGGATTGCAAGACATGAAGCCGCTCATTTTTTGAGTATTCTCTCATCACATGATATATTACATGTATGAATGTATACGATGACTTTCCAGATTCAATCGGCTTTCTAATGAGAAAAATTTTCTCTTTGAATTTAGTTGGCTATTTGTTGGGCCTTCCGATCCTGGGGTATTCATTGGATATTGGTAAGGAACATGTCAATCTCATTGACGAAAAGCTGGAAAAGCTTATATATAGTGGACAGCTTGATGCCAAAGAGCTTGACAGGTACTCTTTTAAAAGCTATATATATCTGTTAGTTTATACCTGCCTGTCACTTGGAAGTTTAAAATATGAAACCAAAATGATATGAAAAATGATACAATGTTACACGATTTAAAATTTTGGCAAAACCTATACATGGGTTTAACAAAAATAAAAAATTTATTTCTTGTTTTTTGATGACACAATTTTCATATAAAACAAGACATAAATACAAGAATTATCAATGTTTCTACATGATATGAATACGACTATACTATGACAAGAATTATAACCCTTTCTTATGCTAAATTGTTGCTCAATTTCTGAAGTTCTTATTCTCTTATAATCACTAGTAGAATGTGTCTTTCTGATATTATACTGCTTGAAGGCTCAAGAATTTAGCTGCCATTCCATGTTCTTAGACACATATTGTAAGCAGGACCTGGTGATTCTTGTTCAAAATATTGCAATTTTCTTTTCTAAGGAATGCCTTCATCAGTCATACAAGTATTTCTTTTCATAATAAAAGAATCTAAGAAACTAGTCTCAAATCTCTAGGTGTGAAAAAAAAAACAAATGAACTCAAAGTTTAACTTAGTTGGATCATACATCCACCCTTAAGAGGTGGCATTGGTAGATCTAGAGTTTAAACCCAGCACTAGCAACATCTTCCTCTATCCTCGCTGCGGTGTTCTTTGTAAAAAAGGAAAACAAATAGTAAAAAGATAAGGAAGATTATCTCTGCTTGGCTTCTTTGCTAGACAGAACATACTCAATTGCAATGTGAATGTCAGGTTGGCAGTTGTTGCTATGGCTGGACTTGCTGCAGAGGGTCTGAAATATGACAAAGTGGTCGGTCAATCTGCTGATCTTTTCACCCTTCAGGTTTTGCACAAACCATTGCCAAAGTTGATCTGTATTTGATCATTAGCTGACCGATTATGCAACTCACTCTGGACTGTATTTTCTGCAGAGATTCATAAACAGGAGCAACCCAAAACTCAGCAATGATCAGCAGCAAAATCTAACTAGATGGGCGGTAAGTTACTGAAATTTACAGTTGGAGCCATGCATGATTGATTTTGATACAAAATGCCACTCTGAAAATATCCTTTCAGCTTCATATATGTGCTTCAACTTTCTGAAATCTCATAGGGGCCATTAAGGTTTAAGGGATAACGTTATTTTTAACAATTCAAAGCTAATGTTTGGTAAAACTCATACAGGTTCTGTTCGCTGGATCCCTCTTGAAGAACAACAAGGTGACTCATGAAGCCTTGATGTCAGCAATGTCGAATAAGGCGACTGTATTGGAATGCATCGAAGCAGTTGAGAAAGCTGCATAGTTTTTACCTTGCACTTCTAAATCGTTTTCAAGTACCAAATTGGAAAGATTGCACTGCTTGAAATCGACATTAGCACCTAAGCTGCTAAATGTTCTTTTGATTTTCCTCTTTGTTTTTTTAAAAATTAATTTCATTCTCAATACCATGAATCCAAAAGATTAATTTAAATGACCAAATTGGTGTACAAAACGATTTTAAAAAGAAAACATATATCATGTTTGAAATTTCCTCTATATCTTTCTTTTCTTCTATATTTTTTTTGTGTAAAAAAAAAATTGCAAATGCTAAAATTTAAATTCTAATCTTACTTTTATCCTCCCATACTCTTCATCCAATATCTTAAACTTACTTTTGAGCCCTCCAAACGTGGCCTGGCTCCATGTGCTTAACTCATTCTTCACGACTGCCAACTTTCTTTTAATTTGTCCTTTCCCCCACCATTCCATCCACTGTTTATTATGTTCTCACGGCACACCTTTCTCGTCCACATTGTTTCAAAAAAGAACCTTCTCCTCCTTCACCTCTCCGCTTCCTTTCTCTACAGCCTTGCATGTCAACTAGGATTGGATTATGGTCCGAGACAGCTATTGGCATGTTGGTGACCGAAAACCTTGGGAACGTGTCTATCCACTGCTTGCTTCCAATGCTCTTATCAATTCCCAATGCTCTATCAAGCCTTTCCCATATCAGTTGATGAACTATTCTCCCTTTTTCCCATGTGTTCCATACTCTAGATCTCAGGTCTTCTAACCCCACAACCTCTATAGCATTTCGTAAGTCAGCCATCTGCCATGGTGCCCTCAACGCTCCACCCCATTTCTCTGAGTCCCACGTAATTTCATTGAAGTCTCCAAAACACGGACACGGTTCTTGTGATGTTCCTGTTAGTTGTCTTAATAAAGCCCACGTTTCAGGTCTCAAAATTCTTAATCTATATTAGATAATTTAATCTATAATTTTTAAGTATATTGAGTCCATGGACAAATAAATGTAAGCCAGTTACAACTTTCTTACTTTAATTATTAAAATGGAAACTCATCGTCTCCATTTAAATGGAGATCGGTTAAACCAAAAATAAAGAACAAATTAAAAAAAAAAAAAGAAGCCAAAACAGTGATAATTGTCAAACATATACAACTGCATCATATCAATAGCACGATACATGGGGAATTTCCCAACTTAATAAGTTAACTACGTAATGCAGTGCTCGCATAGGAAAAAACAAAAAGAAACTAGGAACATTTTTGACATGCTATGCTACAAATAATATAAAATTCAATCACCGTATTTAGAGCTGTCAAAACTATAACCCAGCCATGGCTATGCCACTTTCTTTAGATACCCTTCAATTTGTTCCAATGCCTAACAAGATAGTAATATCATTTAGCCAATATCTTAATTAGATAACAGGAAAAAAACATAGGACAGGGAGAAAGAAAGACCTCGATTGCGATCTCTGTTGGAGTAAGATTTGATACATCTCTATAACCTAGTTTGCCTGCAATTTCTGAACAATTGGAACACTTGTTTAAAGGCAAAACCATCCGGAGAAACACAAGCATGAACATGCCATGTCAAATGAAGATACAAAGGGAATTCAGCAGAAAAAGCAAGTAAAGAAAGAAAGATCATGGCATCACAAGAAAGAAAGTAAACAAGTTGGGAGTAATGAGCACCAATGCACTTCAAGCTGTTAGCTTTCAGAGAGGTTTCACAAGATCTTGTCCAAACATAACAATAACCATAAAAAGTGTGAGACAGATTCAACTATACATACCTTCTAAGGAAACCCTGGCATTTGCTTTAGCATAATTTTTACCCCTCTGTTCCAAAAGATAAGACAGACGCTTAAAGCCTGTAAAAGGGTCAGAATGTCAAAAACTCACTAGATCATATAATACCAAGTCCACGCAAGGAAAGTAAATAAAGTCAACAATGGATTACCTTTGTATATGGATCGCCAGATTCATAATGCAGAAGGGGGCGAGAATGGGTACCTACTGCAGCAATTCTGTGTGCCAAGGCTTCCAAAGGTACATCTAACCAGACACTAATTCCTTTCTTCTGCATATAGTCCCTGATAAACCAAAAAGAAGAGTTCGGACTTTTATAGCTGATGCAACAGAAAATCGAACCCATGGAGATAGAAGAATCTTAAATTAATTAAATTCCTGTGTACCAGTTCTCATCCTGTACAACTGCACCTCCGCCAGTAGAAACAACAAGTTGTTTCTTTGAAGAAAGCCTCTGCAATATCTCAGTCTTGAAGACAGGAAGAAAAATATAAAAGCTTTTATTCGATAGGAAACTACTATCTCAAAACATACAGAAATGATGACTGAATTAATCCTCAAAACAATTATAAGCAATGGTTTGGTGACACTAGAGACTAAAATCAGTCTAGAGATTTGTCAAATGCATATATCTTTCAGAAAATTTCCATTTGGCTTACCATGGCCTCCCCTTTATATTAGTGAAACTCACACGGTCACGTTGGCCAAAACCAACTTCAAATGTTGGTCAAATTTCCATGTCTGCAATAATCTTCTATAACAAATGGCAGAATAGAAAGGTTCCTATATACATAATGAGCTAATTTCATACTTTTGACTTGTTAAGAAAATTTTAAAACTAGGTCTTCTTTACGACAGAAACTCATCATCCGATTCTGCATGTGACCAGCAGCAGACATCCTACTTTAGTAAGATCAATACTAGTTTACAATCTTCAACCATAGCATATATAAGGAGACATCTACCTTGTCATGTCCTCTCAGTTTTAGATAAAGAAGATAAATTAAATTTAAAATAAAAAAGAAACTCAAACCAATTCAATCCAAAAATATTAAATTTAAAGTAAAAGGCATTATGCCCCAAAATTAAATTTAAATTGAAAAGAGATTCCAACACTTGATCCAGAAATATTGCCATGAAAATATTGCACAGTTATCCCCCCTTTTAGGAAAATAATGGCTTCCTTTTCTACATGAACCATCAACTTTAGGTAATAATTCAAGTAAAATACATTTAAGACATGCAAGCATACATACATACAGAGAGGGAATTTGCTGACTTACCTCCTTTTTTCTGAAGAAACTCTCCCCATGAAGCTTAAATATTTCAGCTACAGACATTCCATTTTCTTCCTGCTCTATTAATGCATCACTGAAAATTGTAGAATAAAGATATTCTTGAGACAGAAATTAAAAAGCCTGCTTAGCAGTCCATTACATTGGAAATAGTTAGACATCCAGGATGGAATACTACTTCTGGAATATTCAACCTAGAAATTTATGTATCAAAAGTAGACCAAATTCCTTTGACACTGGAGTCTAATCTGAACATACCAATGCTCAAATCATTCAATTGATGCATAGTCCCATACCCCTCCTTGGCCCTTGGGACCAAGACAACAAATTCGACACTACAAACTACAAAGGACCATGTGTGCCACAGAGAAGAACTAGGAAACCAAAGAGGAATGTTTCCATAGCTTGAGCATATTGTTTTTTTCTTTCCAGTGTTTATATGAACGCTTCAACTATAGACTCACACCTGATAAACAATCGCAGTACAAACCTGTCATAAAATGAATAATTGAGTATGTAAGACAGAATTTTTCCCACTGTGGTTTTTCCAGATCCCATCAATCCCTGCAAATTCACATTCGTAAGGTTTAGCTACCAGAGTAAGCGAGTAAGTGACTACATAAAATTGAAGGACTTGGACAAAAGAAACTGACCAACAAGATATATACTGTATCCATTTAAATATGGCTCAATCTCTTGTGACTTATTCTGCAAATTTTATTCATGTCAAGTGAGAAACATTGGCGGAAAAATCTCAGATGCACAACAACACAACAAGTGAGCTTCTATTTCAGTGTTTGAAGTCTTAACTAAAAAAATATTTAACAGAAATTGATGCCAAAACACTAAATTGAAGATAAAAGATTAAAGTACATAAAGGGGTATCTAATCACCTTAACATACTTTATCAGCCAAAAATTTAAAATTATTACACGGAATTATTTCATACCTTTAACATTAAAGTTTCATCATAAGGCACTTGAACGCTTCCAGTTTCCAATGTTGAAGCTACAAAATAATATTTTAAAATAAAACATCATAGGGGTTAATCATATGTATAATAAAATTTTCAAATTCTCAATAACAATTTAGCCACCTAGGTTTGAGTTGTACTCTCCCTTTGGCTAAAATCTCAACATCAACATACTATGCCAGTCTCATCCATTGTATATCACAATGACATGAAATCTAACAACAGATTAAATAGAGTTTGAAGAAAAGTAATAAAAATGAATGGAGTAGGCAGAAAAGCAGAAACAAAATGCATTCTGATCATACTTCACAGAATCAACATGCCAATGCCAGTTTCATCCATTGTATGTTACAATGGCATGAAATCCAACAAAGATTAAATATTACTAGCTAAGAAAAGTGAAAAATGAAAGGAGATTGGCAGAAAAGTATAAACAAAATGCATTCTGGTTATACTTCAGATGAGATGAAAGTGAAAGAAAAGATAATACATGAAAAGACATTTCTATCTAGGCTCACAAATCTGCCCAAATCAGGTGGATTATGAAGAGAAAATGAAAGAAGTGGGCAAGTTGTAAATTTACAGTGTCATTTTGTTTTTTTTTGGGGGCAAAGTGCTACAATAAGTACATACAACCAGCAGCTTATTGACAGCACCTTATATCAATTATTAAATGACCCAGCATCAATGGCCTGAGTATTAAAAATTTGGGGTAAGCATTAATTGTGTCGGTTGGTTCAGGTTGCAAAAATCAATAGTGAATTAACTGACTTTTATTCACCCTATAATTGAAGCCAACCAGAAATTTAAAGAACTGACCATAACCTAACCGGTACAAAATTGGTTGTAGTTTGATCAGTCCAGTTAAATAACCGAATTTTTCATCATATTTTCCTCCTATTAATAACAATTATTTAGCTACAAATTCAATCCAATAAAATTCAAACATAAATATCTTTCAAATTAAATCACTAAAGAATTTAATAATTTCAACAATATTTTACAGGAAAAAATATAACTAAAAATACTCATGTCAATTTTTTTACCCTTATTTATTAGAAAGTCGATTAATTTTGGTTTATTCGATTATTAGTTTTAAGAATCGAAAACTCACTGAGTTAACCAATTTAACCAATAAAAAAAATCGATTATAACCAAAATTGAATAGACCAAACTGAATCAACCAAATTCACTCGGTTTTGGTCAGTCTAATCAGTTTAAACCAACTTTTACTCACCCTTATTAAAAATTGTTCTGTTAGTGGAAGAATCAACAAATTTAACAATACCTTGCATCCTAACCTGTACATCAAAACCATTAGACTGAACTATGAGTTCAATAGTAAATTTACAGTGTCATTCCCTCAGGTATTCAAACTTTCTTTCCTCTGATTTTTCTATCTGAACAAGAAGGAAAAGAATGTCAAATTTTCTTTCCTGTCTATTATCCTTAAAATTTGATACCTTAAAATATTGTTTATTTTAAGAAATTCCAGCATATCATTGTGTGGAGCTTAATTATTACCTTAGGTTGATTGTTTCTAAGCAAAACAAATATGTGGATTGACTTTGTTTTCAAGGGTTTATTATCGCACTTGTATGAAGATTATTGTTAAGGATTTATTATCATGCTAGTAATCTCTCTATTCTTGGTAGTAAAAAATTCTACAGCGCGTACAAAGTGTACATAGCTCTCACATTGAACAGTGAACTATTATAAATCTTGTGTGTTCAATTCTTTTTCTTTGCACTTTTTTATTATTGCTTTCAAAAAAATTGGGTTTATAATCCTAACAATCTTGAAAAAAAATTAGAAAAAGAAGACTGAATTAGCTTTACAAAATAAGATAAATCAAATTATAATACCATAAAAACTAATAAACTAGTATATCATTATTTTAGTTTTCCATTTAAGTACCTGAAAAGTTCTTATATGAAGAGCAGGGAAAACCTCGGAAGAGGATCGGATCTATGCCGGATTAGAAGATGTCTTAACCGGAAAGTGAGCCGAACAACCACCCGAACTTTCTGAATCTTGCTTTAGTATCCGACCCGAACGGCAAAGAACCGGTCGATTTACCTCCCAAACCTTTCCGAGTTCGATCCATGTCGGATTAGTTCAACTTAGCATGCAATCTCCTCTCCATTCTCCAACCTCCAATCGCCCTCGATTTAATTAATTCAACAAGTTTTCAGTTTTTGTTTTTACTAATTAAAAAAAAAAAAAACAACGAATCTCGTCAGATTTAATTCAAGATTAAATTTAGTCAGTGCAGAAAAATAATCATACTAATTAATTAAAATTTAAGAAATTTGAATTTCAGGGAAACTCTCGTATGGTACCTCAAATAATTAATTAAAGAGAAAATGAAATTGCAAGAGCGTTGCCTCTCTGACTCTGTGTTAAGCGGTAAGCGCTCTTTGCCCTGACTCTGTTTTCTGGCATTGTTGCGTTTTAAAGCGGCAATTGGAACTTGGAAACACTATACAAATCTTTTTTTTAATCTATAGGTAAGGATTTTTTTTATTTTTAAAAATTAAAATTACTAGTAATTAAATGGAAAGGAGAAGGATAAGTAAAATTAAATTTGGGTGAATTTTTTTTGTTTTAAAAAAGATTGCGCTGCAATGATGACGTGGAGGGAGCGCATGCACACCTACCTATCTCCGGCGAAGGGGGTTGGTTGCAACCACTATCCTAGTAAGAAATGAGTGGAGGAAGTAAGGAAGGGGGGTGAGTGGTTACACTCATGTGAAAATTCTTGGGGGTAGTTGTCATTTACCCTCGTTCTGCCACGTGTCTACTTTTTTTCTTTAACTTGGATATTCTTTATTTTTTTTAAATGGACATTTTTTTTCCAACTTCAATTGGTCCGTCACGTGATTGGCACGAGGTTTCGTTCCCAGTGGACCGATGAAACTTGAGGATTGAGATCGAGAAGAATCACGAAATCTCGTTTCTCCCTCCCAAAAGAATGAGAAACCGTTTCTATAATCTATTACATCTCAAAAACATTCACAAATCAACAAATAAAAAAGGCTTTGATTTCTCCACAGATTTCAGTTATAATCATTTTTATTATAATTTTTAAATCGTTTAAAATTATAATAAAAATTTATGTAAAAATACTATTTAACTTATAAGTGTAAATTTTATAGAAAACATTTAATTCCACTATTTGGAGGGATGTCGTATGTTGGAATTCCATGATCTCAACGTTTGCTTATCATGAAGAAGCTGAAGGCGGTCCTCAGACATTTGAAAGAATGCTGAAAGAAGAATGAAACCCAATATGTGACATTTGTTGGTCTGCTCTTAGCATGTTTGCATGCAGGATTTGTGGAGCTTGGACTCCATCACTTTGAGTCAATGCCTACATTTGGAGTTGAACCTGGGACAGAACATTATGCTTGTACGTTATCTCTGTTGGGCCATGTTGGTAAATTATACGAAGCAAAGGCATTCATTTTTGAGACAATGCTGTGGAGGACCTTACTTGGTGCACATCGGATTGCTGGTAATGTCGAATTAAGGAAATATGCAGCAAAAAGGGCAATTTCAATTGATCCAATGGACAGTGGTTCATATAGGTACATATAAAGCGTACTGGATATGCGCCCCATATTGGCCAACTCCTGATATAGATTTCAAATAACGTGTAGCTCATTCTAGATACTGAGCTTAAAGGGATGCTTTCAGTTATAAGCTGGTGCATTCTCAATCTTTCACATTGTGCTATCATGACTATTTTGCTTTCATCGCTCTGCAGCCACAACTGTCTGGATGGATGCTGCTAGAGTAGTTTGACTGCAAAGGTGCTGCTGCGATTACCAACTACGATTACCGAATACTCGAGACAGGATTTGAGTAGTTAATAATGGATAGGTTGGAAGAACTTACTTGCTAAGAGGATCCTACCTTAAGTATAAATTTTGTGCGTATCCCTTCTAAGGTGCTAGTAGTTGATCATGGTTGGATTGCTAAGCTGAGGGATGCATTAAAGAAATCCATTTAGGCCATTATTAAGTCTACTTGGACGCATCACCCGCTTGACAATGGAAACTGGTCGTAGATACAATTTGATTGTCGAAATCAAAGTTTGAATATCTGATTGTGAATATCTTTCTTAATTTATCAAATTAAAAATCCTTTTATAATTCAGGATACATACCAAATATATAATTAACATATTTCATTAATCATCATCATCATCATCTTCATTATCATCCTCATTATTATTATTATTATTATTATTATTATTGTTATTTCTTCTAATTACATAATAATTGGAGCCAAATGGAGAGATCATGTCCCATCACCTATTCTTTGCTCCACATCCAAAGAGTTTTGATATCTTATCAAGGTTAAGTGTTCGAAAATCCAATCTAGATACAGAGCTCCGGTATTGAGGATTATCAAGGCGGTATTTGATGATATCTGCTGTAGAAGCCTGTAAAAGAGTTAAATTCTGAATGTTCTGAGTAGCATTAGGATGAGCCTGATCAGTAGAAAGCAATGCACGTAGGTTCTCTTCATGCTTGATTGGCTTCACACTAGAAGAAGTGCTGCTTGCACTATTACAACTTTCACGTCCTTTCTGCTTCTCCTGGTAAGATACAAGAAAGACATTCACACCGATAGGGTAAACTTTCAATTGTAAATTACATCACCACGTGGCAACCATTTTCTCTTTTATCAAAGAGATTTCAAACTAAGACTTTGCTTAGTAGGAATGATGAAGAGAGGCGGGGATGGAAAATCTAATAGTTAAAATTCATAATAACTTTTTTATTTTGTAGCTTAACCATTAGATTAATAAAATTTTCATCCTCACCCTTTTCTAGGCAAAGGCTAAATAATAATCTCAGTCAGATTTAGTTTGCTCAGACCTCGAAGAAAAAGCAAAACAAAAGAGAAAGTTTAGTTTAATTCAAGTTGTCAATCTTAATTCCTCCTCTTATCCTAGAAGGAATTTCAGAAGTTTCTCTTTGAAGGCAGCTTCTGCTTACTAAGTTAAATCCAGTGACATTGCTCATAGTTTCTGAAATGCATTGTGTATTGGTAGCTAATTCAGTAATCGATATGAGGTTTCACCTTGCTTTCTGGTCATAAATATATATATATATATATATATATATATGTGAGGCAGTGAAGGGTAAATGTGACCCTCAAATCAGTTGTTCATTCAGTCTTGAATTTCATTTAAGTCTGCCTTAAAAAATACATAGTATCTGGTTTTTTAAGAATTGCCACAAAAACTCTTGACAAGCTGGTTTGTTTGACGATTTAAAAATACCATGTCGACAGAAATCTTTGATGGAAACTTAAAAACAGTTGGATGTTTGTCATATATTAATTCAACATTAAAGAAAATTTTCCATTGGCAAATGCATTAGTATCGAATAATTGTTGCGTTAGATTCAAATTAAAATGCGATTTTAAGAAGTATAGAGAAATTAAGGAGCAATTTTTATCTCCATGGAAGTATCAGCATCATCTTTCTTTTTTTTCTGTCATTAGGTCCTTTTTTCATGATCATGATCATGTACCTTTTTAGAAGATTGCTTTGTTTTATATGGTTCTTCCTCCTCTTCGTATATTACCGGTAGACCTGACAGGTCACATGCCAATGGACTTGAAGAAAAGAACTGCAAACAAAAAGGAGAATAGGAAGGAGCAGATGAGGATTTCATGGCGCAAGAATTTTGTTATATATTTACTCTAACCTAGCTTCGCAATTTCATAAATTTAGCTGAATTAGCATGCATCATGCTGTCCATTTAGCAAAACATTTTAAATGTGTAAACTCTTGAAGGCCTTTTTAGTACCAGAGAATTGTTGAGACAAGAAAGACTTATGAGACATTCATACCAGATTAAAAATAATTAAGTAGAAAGTGCTGCTGTATTAACTTACTTCACTTTGAAGAGCAGAAGCTGCAGTGCCACGATATGATGGGTCTAGAGCAAGAAGCATTGTCAAAAGACCAACTGAAGAATCAGGGAAGTCTCCAAATACTTCTTGATATCCAGGCTTGTAATGCTGTGGAGGCCGGAAGCTTGATGGTAGCTTCATCTTTTTCCAAAAGTCCTCTGAGGGTGTGCCACAAAGTTTAAGAATTCGATGAAGCTGCTCAACCTGAATGCACAAGAAGTTTAATAGACTGAATAACCTGTCAGCAATAAGATCATCACATTTTTACCCTAATCGAAAAAGACATGTAAAGATTAAAATGCATGACAGTTAATGTATACATTTAGTAGCTGTTGCATCCACTGGCCCTCTCTTAGAGCCATCTTTTATTTCACTTTATAATGATAATAAGTAGAACTATGAGCAGTTTTTGTTTTCCATTTGAGATGATGCATTTCTGCAAAGTAATGATTTAACTATATAAGAACAAAATTTGCTTTTTTTCATGGCTGTCCATATGCATCCATAACAATAAATTATTCCTTCATTGGTGTTTAAACTATTGTTTTAAAGCGTAAATGAAGTGAATGAAGGTTTACCTCCGTCCTCCCAGGCAAAATTGGCCGTCCAACAAACATCTCAGCTAACAGGCATCCCGCACTCCAGAGATCAATCCCAACACCATAATCTGTAGAACCTAATAAAAGCTCTGGAGCTCTGTACCAAAGTGTTACAACCCGGCTCGTTAGGGGGCGTTCTGGTTTAGGACTAAAAGAATTGGCAAGGCCAAAATTTGCAATTTTCAGCACCCCATTCCTGTCTATCAATAGGTTGGAACCTTTAATGTCTCGGTGCAATATTCCTCTTTCATGACAGTGCTGGAGACCTGAAAGCAGCTGTTGCATGTAACACTTGATCTGCATGGAGAACACAAATATTACAATAATAACAAAATTCACTCGCTCAATTTGACAATTATATGTACTGTCAAAAGATACTACTAATTTCCTAACAACAAAGCAATGTAAGCAATTAATTAAATCTAATTGATGTATGCTTCTAGATCATTTTTGGCTTATATTACTCCCCATTTTTTCTTTGATCTTTTGTCGCAATATTTTATGATTGGTTCAGTTTTAGCCATTCCAAACATTCATGAAAATTAAAATTTTGTCAGTTCTCAGTTCATCAGATGAAATTTGGAGCTTCAAAAACCATTTAGAGAGATTCCAACCTGGGGTTCAGTGAGCCTCTCGCCTGGACGGGTGATAACTTTGGTCAAGTCTGACAGCACGAAATCGAAAACCAGATAAAGACTGTAATGCTTCCTTGAAGTGGCTAGTCCTTCAAGGCTGATAATATTTGGATGATTTAGCTTCTGCAGTATCATAATCTCTCTTGCCACAAATTTAACACATTCAGGCTCTGAAGTGTTAAAACGGACCTTCTTCAAAGCAACAATCTTTCCCGTGTCCCTGTCTCGAGCTTTGTACACCTTGCTATAGGTCCCTTGCCTCACCTGAAAAATGATTGAATAGGTGTCCATTTTTGCAGCCAATAATCTAACAAGAAGACAGAATATGTCATAGAAAACATTAGTACTTACCTTGGCGAGCTTATCATAGGAATCAGCACTCTTTGGAACCAAACCAGCCAAAACCTCTGTAGGAATATTATCAACAAGCCATTTAGGCCACCCATCATCAAGCTCATCACCTTCAATCTTCTTTGACATGTTACTAACGATTGATTAGAAAAATTGGAATGTGATATGATGAGGGCAATACTTGCTTTTTGGCTTGATCAACAAGGAACGTGAAAAGAAAAGAGAAATGGCTTATTTATTTTGGATTATGGTAAAAATAGAAGAAAATGGGTGCCCTTGTTTTTGGAGATAAGTTCAATTTTCTACTCCATTTTCAATGCCATTGGACTGTGTTAACAAGGAGTGTGATATCGTTTTTTTCAAAAATTTGTTGCTAAATGAGACAACCTGCAGGTAGAAGAAATAGCCAACTATTTACAGACAAAATTTCACATTCTCTTTTATAAATAAATGAATTATGAAATTCCCATCCACATGATTCTCCAACGTAAGAGAGTCGCAAGCATAATAGCAGATATAATGAAGAATATTGATACGGAAAGAGTTTTAAATTATGATTGTGATCGTGCTTTTTTCCTTTTATTGCGATTATAGCGATTATGGATGTGATAAATAAAATTTTATTTGAATGGATGGTAAAATTAATTATGGTGATATTAAAAATAATAATAAAAATTATTGTAGTTGCGATTGAAAAAAAATTATTATAATTATAATTAAAAAAAAGTTTCAATTAAAAATTTATATTAAATGAATGTCGTTGAAATTAATATTTATATTTAATTGATGGTGCAGTAAGTTCAATTGCACCGTATAATAATCGTTGTGTCCATCGAATTTTTTTTTTTTTTTAATTTTACATAACTTATTATATAACGAAGTAAATTATAATAGTAAAAACTTTTATTATATAATATTTAAAATAATTTAAAACATTTTAATTTCTATACTTATATGAAAAATAAGTTATTAATATTTTTTATATTATATCTTATTAGTTAAATTAATCCATATTTAAAAGTTGTTGAAAATATATTCATGAATATCGTAAAATTTATTACTATAATTGTACAAGAGTGACAAAATAATATTATATATAAAAAAATCAAACATTTTCCTGTCTTTTTCAATTATATAAAGTTAAACTCATAAATTAATTTAATTAAAAATATAATGGATGAAAATTAAATATATTATAATTTACAAATTAAATTTAACAATCAAACTTTAATTAAACTCAAAAAACAATTACCAATAATATTAAGTACTAAAACTTTAATCATTTAAATTTAATTATTTTTAGACCATACTAATACAAACAAAATACTCAACTTAAAAAAAATCTCATAAAAATGAATTCATTTTTTATCATTTCATTCCCTCTCAATTTTTATCTAAATTATTCAAAAAAATTTCTCAAATTCTTAATTCTCACTATTTAATTACTTTTCCCTCCCAATTTTTCATATATATATATATATATATATATATATATATATATATAACAATTTTAATTTAAAGTCACGTGAGAACGTGACTGCTCCCTAAAATTCCCCTCGATTCTTCTCCTCTGTTTCTTCTACTACACTCTGCCACGTCCCCTGCCTCAGTTCATCGTTCTAATTTTGTTCCCCACACAAGCAAAGCCTTTCTTTGCAAACCCACCCACAATCCAACCCATCCGGCCAACCTTATGCAGCACCCAGACCCTTGTGGCCTCTGCTTCAATTAATTTTCTTTACTTTCATGTCTGGTCTCATCTCTCAAGGTTGAAAAGATCAAGAACCCACACCTGCTGCATTGCCATTCCTAAAACAAACTGATCAGTCCCATTTTACTTCCTATCTTTTATGGATTATTGATGAGCCTCAAATTCGACATTTCATTCTTAATTATCCTATCTCGGCAATGGCATTCCGTTGTAGCTGCAATTCAGCTTCACTTCAATCCAATGTAACTCATCTTGGCATTCACTGTCAATTCTTTGCATTATCATTTCTGCCTTTGTTTGATCTGACTACAGTTGTGTATTTAAGCTGACATTCTTCATTAATTTGTTTTACAGAACTTGTCCTGCTTCAAACAGTAAACTTCAGTTCCTGTTTAAAGCAAAACAAAGGATATGAGTTACAACTTACAACTATTTGAGCCTCTAACACTAATTGATAAGATTGGGCATGAACCAAACTGGTGGAGGCCAAATTAATAGTTTTGGATCACTAGTGTAACCTGGCAAATGTTTAATGCTCCCATCGGTCAAACTGAAAAAGTCTATTTCAAAACCACCAATAATGTCCTCAAAATGAAACCACAAGTTGTCGTCTGTAAAATATGCAGTTACCAGCATATCCAGGGATGTTGTGGCAGGGCATTGATAAGGATGAGTTCCACCCCAAAAACAGCATATCTTCAGCAAATAGCTTTCACGTGATACCATTCTCGACTGCTTGTATCATGCTTGTGAATCTTGAAGCCAAGAGTTTAGCACATTACTATTCCTTTAGAAGCGTCACTGTCTTCCAGAGATGTCAACCATAATCAGCTTCCAAAGATGTCACAAGGCGTTCAACCATAATCAGCCCAGCAGAAGACTCAACTAGATAGAGCGTACATGTTACAGAACAACCGGGTGGTGGTCAGCTGACACTAATTCCGTCATCTTTGGGAAGGGGTGGTGGGTGTCACAAACCATAACTCTCCCCCAGCTGCCCAGAGCATACAATCGTCCTTTATGAAATAAGATATCAGAACAGAGTCCAACCTGTTCCCAAGTCTACAATATGCCAAGCTTCCAAACTCACCATATATGGCCACAGCCACAAAATCCTCAGATAGAGGACTTGACGACAAGAAAAACTTCTCATTAAAGTTAGTTCTAAGATGAGCGTCGCCTATGGTATAAAACCGATTACTATTTTCTACTCGGATGCCATATTCATTGCCAGGCTTTTTTGGATCTCGATGGAAGTTGCACTTGAGCACCTGTGAGTGGATTAATAGGACAAATTGAAGTGTTGTTCTCTACGTTGACTACCCAACCATAAACGGATCCTCGAAACAACATTCCTTTTCCTTGAGGAACAAGACAATTCAAGACAATAAACTTTCTTCTCGTGTGAATCGAAGAAACCAAAAGATGTTGCTGTCCTATTTTTGCTTGTGAGTGGTACTACTACCAACTGCCATGGCTGTAGATCACATTTCTGGTGAGGCATCTCTGGCAAGGCCGAGCGCCATGATGCACAAATGCACCTAAATCCAACTTCATCTTGTTAGAAGGAAAGTTTCTTTTCAACGGTCCTCACCACATACGAGACCACTGGCCCATTATTTCTTATAGTATCTGTATTTATGAAATAAACTTAACTATAATCAAACAAGTCTGATACTGAATAACAAACTAGTAAGATCGTTAATCACAGATACAAAAATCATACAGGTCATTACAGATATATATATTTAGATCGAATTAAACCAAAAAAGATTAATACTGCCTCAAATATTGTACTCGACTGGTCGGCAGAACACCGAAAAACGGTTTAAGCAACCAAGAGAGGACGAAAGATGAATGATCCTTAAAAGTTACTGTTGACTAAAGGATTGAATAGTGTATTAGATGGTAAAAAATCAAAAGTTGCATTTTAAATAACATGAAAAATATACAAACCATTTTTTGTAACTTGATACTGATTTTGGGTTTCAGATCGGGATGTATCCTTTCATTTTCTGATCAAATCTAATACTTAAAATATTGGTCGTACGGGAATCATTAGGCGATCAAAATTTAAGTTGCTGTCACTTTTTTTTGTTTTTGTTTTTATATTTAATAAATATTTTTATTTTTAATTTAAATAAATTTATAAAAAAATCCAATTAGGAAAATATTTTTTTTAATTTTTAAAATCAAGAATGAATTGAAATAGATTCAATTTTTTATGAGAAACAAAGGGATGAAAGTTTGTTTAAAATGATTTTGCCTTAAACGATTTTGCTTAGTTCATTTTAGAATATATATAAAAATATATATTTTATCATTAATTTAATTATATAAATATTTTAAACTCACTACAAGAAAATAAAAATATTAATGACAGTTTTATAACAGTATTTCACTTACAAACGCTGTTAGCTTCCGTGTTTTTATAAAACTTAAGATATTTATTATCAAAATATCACTAAATATTTAAATAGCGATAATGTTACTTATAAACGCCACCCAAGACTTGATATTAGTTGCGTTTATCGACTAAGACGACTTGAATAATCTTGTCTTAAAATTTTGAATGAATACTAAAGGTGTTTTTGGTAGAAAACGGCTTGAATAATCTTGTTAAAAAAATTGATAGAAAACTATTGAGGATATTTTTGGTAGATAACGCATTCAATAATCTCCTCATAAAAAATGTATGTGATTATTAAAGGCATTTTCAACAAGAAACGCCTTTACTAATTTCACAAAAAAATTTCATAAACTTATTAAAAGCATTTTTGGTCAAAAACGCATTTAATAAATATCATATAAAAATTTTTTTAATCATACGAATGTTAACCATAAGGTAGTAGGTTCGATTCCTCCCTTTAGCTTTTTTCAAGTTTTTGGAAAGATTATTTGTAATTGATTATTCTAAGCATTTCCTGGATAAAAATGCCTTCACCAATTTCTCCCAAAAATTTTGGAGAGAATATTGAAGGTGTTTTTGGCAAAAAAAAAACACTTTTAGTAATGCATAGAAAAAATATGAAATCGATTCTTGAAGGCATTTTTTGCCAAACTCGCCTTTAATAATCCAATCAATAAATTTTTAGTATGGATTATTAAAGGCAATTTTTGTCAAAAACGCCTTCAATAATCCATACACAAAAGTTGGAATGAATTTTTGAAAGCGTTTTTAGCTCAAAATGCCTTTAATATTTCACATGATAAATTTGAATGGTTGGATTATTGAAGGCAGTTTTTTTTTTTAAAAACGCCTTCAATAACATTTTGTTAGAGATTATTCAAGGCGTTTGCAGTAGAAAAACGCCTTTAATAATCTATACCAAAATATGAAACGGATTATTGAAGGTGTTTTTGACCGAAAAATACCTTCAATAATCCATTTAATTAATTTTTAGTTGATATTATTGAA